CGACAAGCAGTCCACAGCAAACCTCCGGCTGCTGTGTTCTATCATGGGAGGACAGGCGCGAGCCGTGTGGGAAGACGTCACGGGTTCAACCCCGCTCACTCTCACTGAGGACTGTGCTTCTTTCACCACCACAGTTTCAGCAAGGTACAGCCAAACGTTTACAAGAAAAATACCACAATTGATAATTAGATTTAAGTAAAGCGCAATTTTATAACTCTTAAATTTTAAAAATAGTTATCACTATGTTTAAGTTCTTCTAACACATAAATATTAGTTTGCTTAATATAGTTTTTTATATTTTTGATTGGTACAATGCGATTCTAATAAGAATATGAATGTCAATAACGTCGAATGGCCGCGATCTGTCAACTGTCACTTGAAAAGTACGGCTTGCAAAAAAGCAAAGCGGACCCCGTCTTGTCGATATCACACTGATATCGACAAGATCGACGCAGTCAATCAAAAGCGTTAAAATATTCCAATTAAAACATTTTCTTTAATGGTTCTGGCCATGAAAGGAAAAGGGGAGATCTCCGGCCGAGCAAGGGATCTGCCCGGGGTGCGGCCAATAGTTCGGAGCTATTATATATAATTTACTGTTTTTACTTCGGAACTTTAATAGCGCGAGTTAGGTTTCGTTGTATTTCGCTTGTGGTGCGACGACAGCGCTGCCACAGTTCTTTTGTATTTATTTGTAAATAAATATTATTTTTAAAAAATCTGTTATGCTTACCCTACCTAATTAGTTAGAATTGACAGCTATGAAATCACAATATGGCACAATATGATATCAAATAAGTACTTTTCTTATTTGAATCTCATAGTAATTCGTTTTATTTTTCTGCCGACTTCCAAAAAGGAGCCGGTACTCAATTCGACTGTATGTTTTTTTTTTCGTTTTTTTTTTTATGTGTGTTACCTCAGAACTTTTTTCTGGGTGAACCGATTTCGATGATTCTTTTTTTATTTGAAAGCTGGTACTTCTCGTGTGGTCCCATATGAATTTGATCAAGGTCAGACCAATAGTTTTTAAGTTATTCTTAAATAACTTATATTGAAGTCGGCTGTACAAAATTTTTAATTTTAAATTATTTAATTTCCCAAATACAATTAATCATGATGTGAGCTTTTGTAGCTCAGAGACAAATCGCTAGTTCAAATTTCAACTTTAATTTCATAGTAATAACCAAAGTTCGATATCCGCCAACACTACTCAAATTGTTCAGTAGTTGTAATTTTAAATTCTAATTTAATACATACCACCGGTGGAATAATTTATCGTGATGAAAGCTGCATAACAAAAATTCTCGAACACGCATTGTAGCAGCGTGGCGGATCATTCATCTTGATCATCATCCTTACAGCCCATCACAAGTCCACTGCTGAACATGTCTCCCCTCTAAGGAATGCCAAATCCATAACAGAAATAAGAGAAAGCTTGTGCTCAGCAGTGGGGCGTATATAAGCTGTTTAACCCATTAATTGTTCCATACATATCGTACATTGCTATTGTCTTACTATTGTGTCTGGAAACCGGACAGTAAGTGTTTTGTGAAATTATTTTATATTTTATAGGAGTAAAAGAAGCACACTGTCTACTTGGTGATAAACAGATGCTGTGACCCATTTATAATATCTAAGGTCTAAGACGGAATGCCTTGTTACCAGTAAAAGGTCTCCGATTCTCTACCCTTAACATATTAATTACGAAGCTGTTATATTTACACTGGTATTCTGCGTCATATCTCCTATCGAATCGACCTATTCTTACTGCAACCACAATACAATTTAATGTGCGCTACTTATAAAAAAGCTCTATAAGCAGTAATCTAAACTACATGAACCACTTCTTAGCCTAGACGATAAATTATCTTGATTTCATTTTTTTTCTCTATGCCGTTTACAGCTGCGTCGTTATTGTACCATGTATTTATACAACTTAGTCTTTAATATAATTTTTAACAAATATTCTTTCCATTGCAGATTCTGGTTGATGAATTGTCAGAACGTTAGCGACGCCACCAAACTAGCGACGGAGTTGTACAGGTATTATTTAATTTTGTACTTATAAATACGAATACGTTTATGTCTATGCAAGTAGTACGTTTATGTGGGCTAATTTTTGATGCTACCATATCGCGGGTCCTAGCGAAAGCTTACATTTATACTTTAACATAAATTAAAAATTAAAATAAATATTAAATAAGTAGGTTTTTGTGAGTGTCCCAGATCTCTGACACTGCACTTTTGCCTGCCTTCTATCTTATCGCATCAGGCACGGGTAGCTCAGTTTTTATTAATCGATGAAACGAGAATCAAAATATAAATATATTTAATCATTTACCGTTCTTGTTTCAGGGAAATGTTGCTCGTGCCGTTCGAAGTACGTATTGTGATACTGGGCAAGAGGCTGGACGCTCTGGAGGGAAGATTGTTGGTGCTTTATATTACAGATAGATACGCCTACGACACGCTTATACAACAGGTACGTTCCAAACGGTTTTGACAAAATAAGGACTGTTTTCGTATGCATAGAAAAGTGTGAATCGATTTTTAGACCGCTGTGTAAAATTAATATTGAACTTTATTTGCAAGTACAGTTGGCAGACTATTCCTTGCTGTCATTCATAGCACGTTTTTTTTTTTTTTTTTCACGTATATCTAATATACATGGTAGCATGTATTTATATATAACATGCATGGCTACCTCTTTGGGTTAGTGGTCGTAAACGCGACAGCTGATCATGATCATGAGCATATGAGGTCCCGCATTCGTATACTGGGTTGTCCAAAAAAATCATTTCTTGAGCTTTTCTGTCAAAAAATTCTCAGTAGGAACTCGGAGTCAGGAGGTTGGCGGCTTTTCAGCACACTGCTTCGGAAAGCACGTAGGACCGTTGGTACTGCGACTGATCTCTCTCCGATCATGTCGGATTGCCTTAAGGGTGATAGAATAGAGAGTGCACCTGTTCTTGCGCATACACTCGTACACTATAATCCTGTTATGCACAGATGGCTACTCTCTGTTAAGACTGGCCGCCGTGACAGAAGTTCGGTCTGATGGACATTATAATTATAACAAACCAATGTAAAGCCAGCGTAAGGGGAACGTTCTGTGCCCAGTAGAGACGATATCGTTACAGCCTTTCATAAATCCAATGCTGATGATAGGCCTCCCCGCAAAGAATCGCAAAAGTCACGATACATCTTTTTTTATAGAATAGGGTGACAAACGACCACAGAGTCCACCTGATGGTAAGTGGATGTTGTGGCCCATAGACATCTTCATTTATCTTCAATTAAGAATCAAAATGCAAATGCGTTTACACTCCTGAGAAGTAAGATGGAGTGCTTCGTTTTCAGTAAAAAGAGTCTCTGGTTCTCTACACTCACCATATGAAACACAGCAGCATTAAGCTGCTATTTTTCGCTGGTATTCTGTGAGAGCGTGGTCCTTCCCCGGTCTAGCCTGCCCATTCGTGCTACAACCATAATATAGCTGCAGCGAGGCTCTAACACATATTACACCTCGAATTCGCCAGCCAAACGTGGCAATTACAAACTGCAAATTCCTTTAAAGCTGAACGAACTGAACGAAGAAGAAGATAGAAATTAAATGATACCCGAGATAGTTTTATATTAGGTAAGATCGTATAATTTTATATTTCTACCATCAGGAGCACTACACAGAGATCGCTCATTCAACAGCGGTGCGATTTTTGGATGGAAAGGATGTCTACCTTGAGTTCTCCGGCAACCTAGTGCCCGTCACAAAGTCTGGAAGTCAACCTATGTTCACTTTTGAGGTATTTTATTTATTTCAAGCGTTAGTACTAAAGTTTTTTTCAAACCAATTATCTATAAACGTAAATAATATTGAGGTATTATCATTTGAAAGTACAATTTATATTCAAAATTTAAAATAACATCTTATTTAAAATAATATATAGTCTTATTTGTATCTTTAGGAAGTTTTTATTGAAATATTTTATATTTAATGTTTCTTGATTAAAGTAGCATATATTGTTTATAGTATGTGTAGATTTGCACTGATTACAGAATATAATCTTTAAAAATATTTGAACTTTGAATTCACAAAATAATAAGAAAATAGATCGGTATTTGGTCAAAAAATAAAAAGGGAACCTAAGAAAATTAGAGATTCTTTTTTATAACTACAAGCGCCCTCATTGTGCTTTTGGTAAGCTTATCGCTTTTATCATGTCAATATATATATATAAGAAAAACTTTTTAAATCACAATACTAAAACACAATAGAAAGAAAAACATCTACTAAAACAAAATTAAAAAATTAATTAGCCTTATGTGAAAAAAATTATCAAAACCATTTTCATTGATTATTTAAATTTATTACCAACGTAAAATTTTACTTTGTTTAGTGTACAATACGCTAACCGTGTATATAGAATCGTGAGTCATCAGATGTAGCTTTTTTAATCCAAAGTTATACTAACAAATCCTATAAGGACAAAATAATTTAGGTCTGTTAATATTGTTTTCCAAATAATCAAATTTATTTAATTATTATAGGCTTTCAAAGACAACCGAGTGGAATTTACAGTGCGAGTGAAGCATCACGAAGAAAAAGCATCAGGTCGAGTGTACTTCATGAATGAACCCAAGGTCCGTGTCAAGTGTCTTCCACTAAACGCTAATTAGAATGTAATTTAGAGTATAATAACGGCGTAAGCGAATTCACTACTCCACGTTATCACGTGGGAATCATTAAAGGCAACTAGGAGAAATGAAACAGAAGATGGGCAGCAACATCTTCCCGACAACAAAACATCTCCAATGGGGTTGACTTTTTAATAAAAGGAAAGAAGGAAAATACCAATTAGGTGGCCTTATCTTCTTCTTATACTTAATCACCCTGTTGAAGTCCACTGCTGGACATTGCCATATTCGGCATGCTTTACTAGCGGTTAATGATCTAAAGACCAGACGTGTTGGCCCTGCTTGCCGTCGTCGAGATAGGCATGTAATCGCTGGCGTGAACGAGATGATTGTATCACCATCTATGGAAACTATAAGGTATCTATGGCATTTCTGGCCATTCTAACGACACCCATGGAATGATATAATGTAATAGATTTTCTTACCCTGACGCTGTGTCGTTAAAATTTGCAATAGTAATACGAAAATTTTGTTTTCTGTTTTTGTTTTCTTCGACTTAATACGAATTCTCGTGTCATCGATTCACTTCTGTTTTCGGACTAGCTCTGTTATTAAATTACTGCGTGAAAATTGCAGGTTGCCAAAGGCGAACAATCACAAACCCCTGCCTGCGTGCTGGACGTGGAATTACCTGAGAGCATCGCACCAAGAGCTGCTAAGAGTCAGATTGATTACCTGAATTTGGACCAGTCTGGTGAGTTCAATTGATTTTACGTTTATAAAAAGTTAACAATTCAACAATTCTATCAAAAGAATTGATGCCATGGTAATTAAGAATAAGTGAATTAATAAATCTACTTAAAAGAAAAATAAAATTGTCAGGTCCTAGCTCGATCACTCTTATATGTGGGACTCAAAACAGTTTCATCATCTAGTGACAGTTTTCAAAGAGGCGTCTAATATGTACTTTCCATGTTAAAAGATAAAATCGAGTACCAAACTTATAAAAAAGATTTCAATAATTTATAAATACAACAAATGACGTTGTAATGAGTAGGTAGGTACAATCAAATCTCAGTAGTATTAAAATTGCTATACGCTTCGTCTTTTCTTTTATTCCATAGAGTTACAAACAAAATATAAAGAATTTCGTGACAAACTACAAATGACATGACGCATTGGTACCTGATAAAGACGCTAATGCCTCACAGAAAATAGAAATAATTTGTCCTCCTCTAACATTTGCTTATGTAATATTTTAGCTTCACCTTCCAGAAGTTGAAAATGTACAACTAATAATTAGTTGTACATTTTTCAATTTAGATTTATCTTACGAATACAACGCTAACTTCTAGAAAGTTATTTCTCTGATTAAATTCGGTAGAAGATCTAACAATAGCCTTATTAAATTTAATAATAAATTTACGTATAAATCTTTTTTCTACAGGCTTTGATGCTCTAAAGGACGAATTGAGCTTCCATTGGGGTGACCACAACCATAGCTTGGGACCTAACTCATTATCTTATCATGATCATCAAGTCAATGGACATGTGAGTCTGTTTTCTTTACTTGCATTTTCAATAAAATGTCATATCGAACTGTTTTCTAAATATTTATACTCTATATTCTCCTCAGGACAAAGTTATTACAAATGGTCATGTTAAATATCCTTCAAAGGATACAGAAGACAAGAGTACAAAACCACAAGGTATGGAAGATAATATACAAAAACACTTCATATAATATGTAATGAATTTCAAATAATGTTTGGATATCTGTTTTAGCTAATGGAGGTACGTTGCATGTTGACTCAAACAAAACAAAAGCCACATTCGATTCGGACGAAGACAAAACGCCGATGAATACTTTAGAAAAAGGCAAAAAGAAACCAGAAGGCGGTTCTTTCTTTGGCGGTATAGCCGACAAGGTCAAAAATGTATTCGGTCACAGTGACGATAAAGAAGAGGATGTCAAGGAATCTTCACCTACACCTGACCCCAAGCCTCGCGAATCGAAAGAAAAAACTCCACCAAAACCAGCACCTAGACTTATAAAAGAAGATTTGCTTGTAAAGGTTGACGATATGTTCAAAGACCTAAAGAAAAAACCACACAGCAACGAAGAAGATGATTTAGAAAGTCAAGTATATTCCACAAAGTTAATTGTAGATGAAGAAAGCGATCGACCATCTGGCCTTCACGTTGTAACGGAGGAAGTATACCAGCAGTATGAAAATATGCAACCAGTAGATACTCCCCTAAGAATTCAGAAATCTGATCCATTCCAGTTTTACACAGGGTGCTGCGAAGGAAAGTATAAAGGACTAAAACACCGACACGATGAAACTTCCAATTTAATTGATAGGGTTGAACAAATCAATTTTACGGCAAATGAAAAACTTGAGATTGATTGCTTAGATAAGCTCGAAAAAGAGAAGGACGATATTAAACAAAAGTCCAAAGAGGTGACCGAAGACTTGATTGTCAGAACTGAAGCCGTTACAAAAGACTTGAGAGATAAAAGTGATGATTTAAAGTCGACAATAGAAGATAAAGTAAATGAATCAGAAAATGCACTTAATGATCAATTAAATAAATTAAATGATGATGCTAATGAAAAGAAAGCACAATTACAATCGAAAATTGAAGCAGAGATCGAAAACGCTAAATCTTCTGCTAAGGATATTCTTAGTGAATTAGCTGAAGATACTAATCTTGTTAAAAGCAACATAGAGAAGAAAGCTGATGTACTTGATTTTGCTGCTAGGGAAAGAGCCGAAGAACTTAAATTGAGGGGGCTCGATAAAGTACAAGATTTAGAAGGACATCTTACAAAAGCGACAGAAAATGTTAATCAAAAGTCAAAAGAAATCGCTGATTCAGTACATGATTTAGAAGGTGAATTAAATCATAAAGCGCAAGACATTAAAGGAGCTTTTGAAAATAAAAAAGACAACGTTAAAGATGCAGCGAACCAAAAAATTAACGATATCACTGAATCCATCGATAGTACCAAGGAGAAAAGCCAGAAAGCTGCTGCTGATGTCAAATCTAAAGCTAGCGAGAAAAAAGATCAAATTGAAACTGAAGTGAAAAAGAAGAAAAAGGAAGGAAAGAACTTCTTCACTGGACTTGTGCACAATATATTTGGGGAGAAAGACAAGATTGAAAATGAAGTAAAAGAAAAAGCATCTGAAACACAAGAATATGCAGATCAACTTATAAAACAAGCTTCGGAAAAAAAAGATGAAGTATGTGACAAATTAGTGGACGGAAAAGAAGCTGCTGAAAATATAGTACAAGAAGAAAAAGATAAAGTCAAAGAAAAGGTTTCAGAAACGAAGGAATCGGCTGATCAGTTAATACAAAAGGCATCATCGAAAAAGGTTGAAATTGAAGAAAATCTTAAAAGAAAGAAGGACGAATTAAGCGAAGATATTGAACATGTAATACAAACTACTCAAGATAAAACGGCTGAAGTGGGACATGAGGTGAAACAAAAGAAAGATGAAGCAGAGAAAGCTATTATTGATAAAACAAAAGAAATAAAGGTTGTCGTTGATGACAAAAAGCAAGAATTAGCGAAGGCTATGGAGAACAAAATAGACGATTTAAGGCATGCAAAAGATGATTTACAGAGCGAAGCTCAGAGCCAACTAGAAAGGATATGGCAGGAAGCTGTGGCGACAACAGAAGAAATTAAAAAATCTGGTGACGTTATTGCGAAAACCGCGTCCAATAAATCATCAGACATACAAAATAACGTTTCAAATAAAATCGAAGACTTAAAGGAATCTGGCAATGATGAACTTCAAAAAGCACAAAAAGTAGCGATTAATAAAGCTAGTGATCTTCAGAAATCCTCGGAGCAAGCGTTTGATGACATTCAAGAATCGACCTTGAGCGCTTTTGATAAAGTCGAAAGTTCTGCTAAGGACAAAGCGAACAGTGTCAAAGATACGTGGGACGACTTGCATAGTTCAACAAGAGACACTTACGCTGATATGAAGGACGATGTGACAAGTTTGGAAAATTCAGCACAGGATACGTTGCATAGTTTTCAAAGTTCCGCCGGAAATACGTTCGACAGTTTGGACGATTCAGTAAAAGAATATGTTAGTGGTGCTCAAAACACTGTACAAAATGTCGAATCAAACTCTAAAGAGTTATTTGGAGACATGAGAAATACTTTTGAAGGCTTTCAAATATCTGCTGACAACAAACTAGAGGACGTGAAGGCGTCTGCCAAGGAGGGCGTAGAAGATGCTGGTGCGCGATTGGAGGAAACAAAAGAAGCAGTAAAAAATGATCTTAAGGATGCTGAAACAACTATGACTTATACTATAACGAGTGGAGCTGACAAACTTGCGAGCGGTTTTGATGCTTTGGGAAGCCACGCTTTTGGAGCTTTTGACCAAGGTTTGTTATTTCTCATTTATGACATTAAGCTTTTAATTCGTAACATACCTATGTAATAAAAATAACGTTGGTCGGATTTTCAGGTGGAAAAAAAGATGCCTCAACAAAATTTCTGGAGTCGGAAAAAGCACAGTCTTCCCCTCACAAGAAAAGTTCTGGGTACGTAAATATTTTTTACGAAACTATGTCCCCAATTAATCGATGCCTGTTACATCACTGGCTTTTTATTACTTCTATTACTTAATATTATGTTTCTTTATTGAAAATCGATTTATTGGGAATTGATGGTCTTACTTATAATCGTTCGTTAATACTTTTTTTAGATCAATTGTTAATTATATTACCTGTCTCTTTCTATTGCCATTTAGTGAAAAGAGAAAATCATCTTTAAGCATCTCTCAAGTTGATGTCGATTTTTATGAGTAAGGCCGTTAATAAATAATAATCCATCGAATGTAAAAATGTAAATAACCGATCACATAGTATCGCACTTGACTAATTCATGAATGCATTTTATATTATGTGACGGCAAAAACACTAGATTCACAACTATTTTTGTGTCGATTTTCTTTTTTTATGAAAAAATATCATATTTAAATTCTTGGTTTTTTATTAAAGTAAAAACAATATAAACATTTTTTTTAACTTTCATACTTGCGATGGTTATCATTTGGTGAATGAAACTCCATCATTATTGACGATAAGTTTATCACTTATTTCTCTGTAATTCTTAATTTAGGTATTTATTAAATTAATCTCACTGTTTTCATCTCACAGAATCATTAGGATATATCACTTGCATTAACAGTGAACATGCACTGACAGGAGATGGTATTTAAATCATCAAAACTTGTACGCATAGAAATAACTTTATTGATTTAATTTTAAAAAGTCGTTAAGGCTTTGAGACTGTATTAACGGGAAATATTTAACTTCAACAATTTATTAAATTGATATTAAATTAATTTTCAATTCAAATTAATTTAATTTAAAGCTTGTTTAAAGACAAAATTAAAAGATAGTTCTAAGTTTTTTCCAAACACCACAAGTTTTTATAAAATGTCTCAAACTGTTATTGCAATTGACATATCCTGATGATGCCGTAAGGCGATACCGACAGGTTTTATCAGTACTTAGATAAAGAATTTGAAACAGAGAAATAAGCAATCTAAATAACCTAAAAACTAGAATTTATTGTCAAAAACATCGACACAACGAGTATATATCTTATGGACTAAGTGATTGATAAGGCATTAGTTACAATGTCCGGCCAGTATGAATAATGCCCAATAGTCAGAGATGGTAACTTATATCTAAGATATAAGTAACTGAAATACAGATACAAGATACAAAATATGTATTTTCATCTTGTAACTATAAAACTTTTTTAAAATTAATTTCGTATCTTGTATTTAAATACCATTTGTTAGTATTTTGTAGATACTATGTTTGCTAAAATACTTTTAGTAATAGATAACAGATTCTATTGTGATATCTTACGTGATATTAATTTTAAATGTGAATGTTGTCGTAGATAAAACTGAACGCGCCATTAAATCTTTAATCTGGGGCCAAATTGATAGATGGCATGGCAATTCTATCTTTCTACAAAATGTCATCGGCTGTGCCCCCTTGACTCGTGTCATTTTTAAGTATTATTCCACTTATTAGTCTGTGTTTTAGGGAGACACGTAAAAGTTTGGTCGTGAGAAGTCCCTGTGGGGCGACTCTTCTCATTTGGGGGCATGATCATGAGGCCTCTTCGAAAAAGAATGATTGATGAGAGAAACTGTTTGACGAACTGGTTTTATTTAAGTCTCAATTAAAATCTTAAAACTATAATATTATGTTGTGTCACGTTGCGCGATCAACGCGATTTGCATGTAAAAAATAAACTTTCATTAAAAAAAAATGTTGTTTTTTTACAAAAGTATTTTATCTATAAAAAGTATTCAAAAGATACGTTGTTTATTTCAGATTTGGTTAAGGTTATATCTAATTGCACAACAGTTACGTAGCAAAATTCATAATGACCAGACAATGTAATAAATAATGAATCTGTATTATTTACATAGACCGATTTGAATTGTCATTATTCATATTGCCCGGGCATTATAAATAGTGTCCTGATTAATCATTTGGTCCATAACATGTATATCAATATCTATTACATACTTTTCGTATAAAGAATCGATTCTATTACTAATTCACTCTAAAGTACACAATGCCTGCATCTAACTTCACCCGCACCGCATTACAGAATACCGAAGCTTAAGAAGAAGAAGAAATAATTCGCAGCGAACGAAACACGAACGCAGAACGATGTATGATATAGATTAGATTTATTATTTATTGATGTTCTATACGGTGGTACCATGACAAAATTATTGTTTCGACTTGCTATTGCTACAAAACTGACTTATCTCGACTTATAATGTCTCCCAACATATGTTGCGAGCTCGGTTTATTTGTTTGTAACATTTTAAACTCTGGTGCTATATATATACAGCAGGATTCAAAGTGATTATTATAATATGAATCGAAACAGTCGTTTTGTCTTTCTTATGTTAAGCACTGTAAAGGCAACGTTTCCAGTGAAGTTACTGCTATTAAGTATAGTTTTATTTACACGTAGTCACTTTTTATATTTTTAAATTATGACCTTTGTACAATTAAGTACAAGTATTGTGTAACGTGTTTGTCGAATTTAACATTTGACTAACAATACTGTTTGTTGAAGAAATTCATTTAGAATTTTTTAAATAACTTAAAAACAATCATATTAATTTAAAAAGTCATTTTTATTATAGATTATTTTAGTGTTTTATAATTTATACAGATATTTTAAATGAAAGTTAAATCATGTCTATAATCTTGCCTACGTATCCTTCGATATTGTTTTTATATTTTGTTTCCATTTAATAATCTAGAATTGTTGTAAATCATGAGCACTTTTACTGTATCTAATCTTAATATTGATTTTTTTAATTATTTAATAGCATTTTTTGTAATTATCATTTTTACGTTGCGTAATTTATTCTATTTTATATGTGTTTTCTTTTAAATAGTTTACATTGCTTTGTACAGTACAAAGAGATAATAGTGTTATACTATTGAAGGTAGCGTCATAGTATTATTTAATTAGATTTTTTATTTAACTTCTAATAAAAAGAATCCACGACAGGATGTCTCATCTTGCTGGCAATATGTATGATATTTTATAATAATAGGTATTTCCACGGAGACGATGCTTTCTTTAATAGTATACGCTATAAGGCAGGAACTGCAATTAAACCACAAACATACTTGTCTTAAATGTTCAAGAACGACTTATGATTGACTTATGAACGACGATGCTTATGATTGAGTTTTATCTAGTTTCAGTATATTGTTTGGTTATTTATATCAAAACGGATTGATTTCATTTTTATATTTTTTGCCTAATTTATAAATTATAGATCTGCTAGGTTATTAATTAAAACTTTCTGTAAATTGTGGCAAAAGTCAATTTGTTTAAGTCGTGCTGTGCTTAATTTAAATTGTCACAAAGGAACATCCGCCATATATCTTCGTAGATAACATACAATAAAATTCATTAAAAATGTAATTTAATGTCTTGGTATTAAGTATATTTTAAATAAAAACACCAAAATCAGAAAAACTAGAACAAGCATGCGTTACTTGTGGTGTTTCCATATAAGTTGTTAAATGTAAGATATTATATGAAAATGTTCTCGATCAAACCTTTGTTTTTTTTTTTATTTCAGCTTAATATAAGTAGCAATTTTTTTAGTTGAATAGATAACGTATGTTTTATATTCGTTAAATCCTTTTTTAACAAATTATTTATGAATATATTAAACACGTATTTTAAAAATGTTGTAGCTTAAGAAGCAGAAAAATTATACTTTATTCGAGACCACCGGTCTGTCAGTCCATTCTGTACTGACATGTCTTCTTCTTCTTCTTTTAAATTATGGCTTCTCTTGATTGAATTCTGCCAGTGTCAAGTCAGTTACTGACATGTCATTTTCAAATAAGGATGACATTCAAATGCATTCAAAATGCCGATGTAATATAGGGCATTGTCTCGTTTCTAGTAATTAGATCCGCGGATTTTAATGATGTTGAAGATTTCTAGACCGTTTCGAACATAATAACAACTTTAGAATATCAACGGAAGCTATCGTAGATTGCGCAGTTTATATTATACTGCTGCAAATGTAGTCACTTACACGTTCTAAGCTGCCAGTACTGATGATGCACTGCTTATACTGCATGGTAGTCGGAACTATAAAGTATACAATAAGGAAGTCGATAAAAACTTATGAATTGTGATAGTTTTCGTATTTTTGACAATCTACAACCGCAGACCCTAAAAGTAACAATTTTTAAGTGCATAAATGCTGCTTGAGATTTAAAGTCTGGATCCGAAAAGTAGTGGCTAAGTACTCTAACAACTAGACCACAGCGTGAATAGAGAGGGGTTATAAACATACTTATCGTAATTCCTGGTACCTATTCGGAATTAAAAATCAAACTCCAAACCATACTATGTTACAAAGATGTTGACATTGTGGAGTTCCAAGTTTAAACTCGAGACTGACCTTCATTTCAATTATTCTGAGAAAGTTATTAAATACACTTTTTTATCTTTAATGTCAGTTTAGGTTGGTTATTGGTTTCCTATGCATTGCTGTTTCAATCACGACACACCTATTCAGTTACTTATCAAATTTGTATGTACCCACTTCGCACTTGGATAAATCTCGCACTGATCACTGCGTCAATGCATACTGAGCACGTTTAGCTTCTGGTAAGTTTATTTGCATTTTCATTTTTATGTTACATCGCATTCTTGTGTTTCACGTCATTTTAAAACATTGCATCGATTTCTTGTATTTATTTTGATATTTCTTTATTTACAATAGATTTTTTTAAATGGTAATTAGATATTATTTTTTTGACAAAATTAAAACTGTAAGAATATCCCACGGAGCAAATACAAAGAGGCAGAAGATGGCATAAGCAACTGTGCACTGTGATTCTAACTAGGGTCCGACGTCATCACAGTGGGCGTGGCTTATTATACTGTCGACGTTCGTCCTGTGCGCTTATGTGTCGAAAATCGCAAATCGGTGTATTTTCGTAGTATTGAGAAGAAAAGGATGGAGTGTTGCGTTTTATCGTGTAAAATCTAGTCAGATAGACGCTCTAATTTTATACCTAATTTATTAAAAAGGTTCTAGAAAAGAATCTGCGTCGGCTTTCAAATGTAATTATTATATCCCATATTCGACACCAAATTGAGACACTTTGTGTCATGGGAACTAAAAATATAAAGGTACGTAGAACTCAGTAGCTAAACTATATTGCAACATGGATATGGAACGATGCGAGTAGTTTTACTATTTATCGGTAGATGGAGAATAGTAAAGTGGGCGGGGCTTAACATCCCCTCGCCCCGCAAATTGTCACGCGTTGTTACATAGTGAAATCTAATTACAACACCTCTTTGTATTTGCTCCGAAGAATATCCACTCCATTTAGTCAATTTAATAAATGAACAAATTTTAATCTTAGATTTTTTTTTAAATTTAGGAAACTATAACAGAATTTTTTTTTATATATTTATTTCTTATAGTTTCTTGTGAAATAATTATATTATTTATATATTAACATTTACAGGTTCTTCTCAAAATTACGACGCAACCCATGAATCAAGAACTAAAGGGACTCTGCAGCATCGCTTCAACTGTTTAACAATACATAACCGCAAATTAAAAGTAGCAAACTAATATAAGTAAATTTGAACTTTATTGCAAAGGAGATCACAATTTGCCTGTATTTGTCGGTAACAGCTCAATGTATGCATTTTGTTATATTCGGCAAATAATTGGCATATTAAGTGGAGACATAAAAAGCTAATGTAAAATTGACTTCGTTAGAATTTATCTGTTTAAAAAAATAGTTATAAGAAAGGATTCCGTTACCATAGGTACTGTGACACAAGTTTAAAACTTGTCCATTTCTAAACTTAGATCGCGTAGAATATTATTAATAAGTAATAATTTAGACTTATAGACAACTATCATACAAAAAAAAATCATATTATTGCAAAACCCAATTGCAAAACATTGCTTTTAATAAAAAATTAAAAGCTCTCGTAAAAACATAGTTATTTGAAGTTAATAAAAGTAACTACAAACAAACGCAAAGTTAGAGTTACTAAATGGGTGCATAAATACTTTGTACTTGGTTCTATTCTCTTGTCAATAATATAAAATTTTGTTTTACTGACTAACCCTAAATTTTGTCATTATGACCCTAAATAACATAAACCGCCGCTACCATACATCGACACCGCCTAATTGCGTTATTCGAGTTGAAAATAATATTTTTTACTACTTTATCTTGAAAAAATTAATAGAAATGAAAACTGTAACATTGATACTTTGTTAGTGGTCTTTATATGAAAGATAATATTTATGAATTAGACTTGACTTGACCTTAATAATCTTGTTTTTATGAATGTCTATTTCTTTGGCACGCTCTGTAGTCCAAAGAGCTCGATCGATTTTAACATATTATGGAGTTCAGTTAGATTAGTCTTATTTGTGGAAGTGACATAGGGTATAAAATTCTCTCTTTTCAGTACCTTTTTATGAGTCGGGTTGTTTAATTACTGTTTTAATTTTAACTATTACTCTTGTTTGGACCAGAAAATTTCGCGGGCGCGCGTTTAACTCAAAAGTATACGATGGGAAAGTTTTAGACACATTAAAAACGAACAAAAATACAAATAAATGTAAATGTTTTGCTCAGAAATCTTCGCACACAACAACTCGCCAAAATTTTATCGAAAGCGGATGAATATTATAACACGCATACGATACACAAAGAAACATTCATTTTTACAGATATTGATGAATCATCGTATTGTTTCCAAATAAAAGACAAAAATAATTTTTAGATGACTAAAACCTTTCAGCCTTAAAAAGGTAAAAAACATTTCTGTTTTTCGAATGACGTAAATTAATAACCATAAATACAAATACGTAAGTACGAGATATAGTATTGGTGTTTGTGGTGAGGTGCTTAAAAGTGGTCATGAATGGCTCGTCTCCTCTTCCAATTGTTACAGCCAAGATGCGCATTTTATCATACGTATAAAATTGGCATAGCATCCAAACCAGTCTGTGACAGACGTACCCAAAGGTGACTGATAGTAAAATAAATGAAATAGTAGGATTTCATGGTATTCAGAGTTCTTGAACTCTCTGTAGTGATAAATTACACTATTATATCCTCCTTGCACCGAAATAAGCCATACGATAAGCTCTTTTTATATTAAATTTAATGTGGTTTTAATTGTAATAACTAAATATTTTAAATATATTTGTTTGTACGTTTTTCCTTGATGTTGTAAGATTAATCAGATTAATTTAAATATATTGTACAAGTTATCAGTGTCACGATTGTCTTCTAGTATTCACTTTAACCTAAAATCCGTTTTAAATAGGAAGTCAAGTAATTATCTTATTTAAAAGTAAAGTTCTAATTTTACTTTTAACTTTTGGACTTGCTAGACCAAGAGTTTTCCATTCAATTTGTGACGCACAGTTTTCCACCTCTATTGACTGGCAATCTTGGTCTGTTGGCAATACATATAAATAGGTACACGGTGCAATGTGTATGCCGTGGTATAAAGCCTGTGCAGATGTGAAAGTTTTTATTTATAGGTACAAAGTGTCAGAAATTTACCTAAGGAAAATACTGAACGTTAGTTCTAAATGTAAAGTCCAAATGTCCAAAAGAGCATGGCTTCCAATTTGAAACGCATATTACATCTGCATAATGCATGTGCAGTAGTTTATGTCTTCTTAACTAAGAGCCTCACAAATTAATATTATTTGGAGTGAATGAACGAATTAGAATGGGATTGATTAAAGCCGCTGTTCATTTTAACAGAGTTGTACTGTTGTATTACTTACCAACTGTCAATTATCCTTAAAAAATCTCGAAAGAAAGAAGTATTTGTGAAACAACTTTATACTTCTAACCTGTGGATAGTCTTGCCGCCTACTATGGAGCGAAAGGATTTTGTAAAATTTTTATTAACACATTAGTTATACATGTTTATTAAAACTTTAACCTATTTTAAACTTTGAAAGTATGTACTGTGATGCCAAATATATATTATATCTAATGATATATGTAAAGTTGGATATAAACCTTTGTTAATTTATTGATAGAGTCTATCTTCACCCTATTTATTGCTTTTTAGTAATAAATAATTATTGCGGAAATGTTTTTTACTACTATTTAATATTTTATTCCCATCATGTTTACTATATTTCATCATCATCATCATCATTACAGCCCTTCACATGTCCACTCCTGAGCCACCTGCATCCATCGACTTCCTGCATGTCTTACCAGGTCGTCACTCCATCTCGTGGGGGGACGCCCTACACTTCGCCTACCGGTACGAGGCTGCCACTCGAGAACCTTTCTTCCCCATCGGTTGTCGGTTCTTCGAGCTATATGGCCGGCCCACTGCCACTTCAGCTTACTAATTCGTTGGGCTATGTCGGTTATTCTGGTTCTACTGCGGATATCCTCATTCCTAAGTTTATCACGCAGAGAAACTCCGAGCATAGCCCTCTCCATAGCTCGCTGAGCGACCTTGAGCTTCCTCATCCGGCCAGCAGTGAAGGACCACGTCTCAGTTCCGTAAGTCATCACTGGCAACACGCACTGGTTGTACAATTTCGTTTTAAGGTTTTGAGGTATGTCTGACGAGAAGATGTGTCGTAGCTTCCCGAACGCTGCCCAGCCGAGTTGAATCCGTCGATTGACCTCTCGGTCGAAGTTGGACTTACCTAGTCGGACTATTTGTCCCAGGTAAACATACTCGTCAACAACTTCGAGCTTAGTGCTCCCAACAACTACCGGCATAGGTGTGACATGGACATTAAACATAATCTTTGTTTTGTCCATGTTCATCTTAAGACCTATCCGAAGATGTTTTCAAGCTTCTGGACTGGAAAGGGTACGGTATCAACATCAATGGCGAGTACATCACTCACCTTCGATTTGCCGACGATATAGTCCTTATGGCAGAATCGCTGGAGGGCCTAAGCACTATGCTCAATGACCTCAATAGTGTTTCCCAACGGATAGGTCTTACTATATTTGATTAGAATTAATTCTAAAACTTGAGGGTCAGGATGACAGAAAATTTTTACGTGATAACACGTAAGATTATAATACGTAGTAGAACTATGGCCAAGCGATATTCGTAATATATAGTCGCAGCACAAATGAAATAAAAACTTTCAGTGTCGCAACGGAACCCTTATGGATTCGTCATGTCTGTCTGTCTGTCTGTCCGTCCGTATGTCACAGTCACTTTTTTCCGAAACTATAAGAACTATGCTGTTGAAAATTGGTATTCTGTGAACCACGTTAAGATTTTCACACAAAAATAGAAAAAAAAAACAATAAATTTTGGGGGTTCCCCATACTTAGAACTGAAACTCAAAAACTTTTTTCCATCAAACCCAAACATGTCCATATCTATGGATAGGTCTTCGAAAATGATATTGAGGTTTCTTATATAATGTTTTATAAACTGAATAGTTTGCGCGAGAGACACTACCAAAGTGCTAAAATGTGTGTCCCCCCCTCTGTAACTACTAAAATAAGAGAATGATAAAATTTTAAAAATATATGATGTACATTACCATGTAAACTTCCACCGATAATTGGTTTGAACGAGATCTAATTAGTAGTTTTTTTTAAATGTCATAAATCGTAAATTATGTTACTTGCTGCTACGGAACCCTTCATGGGCGAGACCGACTCGCACTTGGCCGCTTATTTATTGTAATTTTTATAGATGTTAGAAATAATTTTTTACGTGGTAGAGCCAAGCTGCAGCTATATTAGTAGTATAGTTGTAGCACGAATGGGTCGGCTCGACCGGGGAAAGACCACGCTCTCACAGAAAACCAGCGTAAAATAGCAGCTTAACGCTGCTGTGTTTCGTATGGTGAGTGTAGAGAACCGGAGACCCTTTTTACTGGCAAAGAGGCATTCCATCTTAGTCCTCACGGGTGCATCTGCATCTTGAGTCTTTATTGAGGATAGATGTAGATGTCTATGGGTCACAGTAACCACTTACCATCAGGTGGACTGTGTGCTCGTTTGTCACCCTATCCTATAAAAAAAAAATAATGCAGCCCAATAGCTGCTGTAGAATGTATGTAGTAGAACATCTTGCGGAAAAGCGCACTTTAGTCTTCATTATCTCAGTCATTTTTTAAGATAGGAAAAAATAAAAACACAATTTTTCTTGGAGTTTTCTCTAACATTGTACAAACACATAGCAAACATCGATGACCTTTCAATTATACTAACATTCCATTTTATTGAAGATGTTAAAATTATATTATATTAAGATGTAATAGCTTTGAAGAGACAAGATAAGACAACATTTTATAGCTGACCGCTTACTTCAGAGCTAACTTAGCGGTCAGCCATCGCAGTCTATTTCTCCTGATGATGCCTCATTTAGAGGCGAAAAACGTGGTCGCATTATCGACGGTGGTGTGTCTTACCTAGTGTATTTGTGTTTATTGCAGGTACGGCAAAGAGGTAACTTTGCTTAAGATATACAGATAACTTTACCCGATGAGGTAAATACAACTCGAA